ATCTACACTAATTATAAATCAACTCTGAATACTAGGACAGTATTTCCAAATATGTACAAACCACCATAAAATAACTATTAATATAACTACCATAGAAAAAACCATAAAATCGCAATACTAGTAAAAATGTAAACATTTTAAGCTAATGTCTTTAAAATTGCAAAAGGTACCGTCTACCATTCCAAGACCAAGTGAACAGCTGAAAACATTAAGTATATAAAAAGTTACTAAATTAGGTCTTTGTTCAGTCAACATTTCAAAAGTTGTTCATGTTTTGTGAAATTTATATTCGAGTTTGGACTTGCTTTCAAGTTGTACTTCAGAAAAGAAGAGTTCAGGTTGACTATTGTCTCTGCCCGACTTCAAGACAGCAATCGTGCTACTTAATTCTGCTTTTAAGCAGCAGTTAATTCATTCCAGCAGCAAACAAGCAGGTACAATTTTGAGAGCGGGCCTGACACATTCCTCAGAAAAGTACCTAATCACACATATAGTTCAGCAGTATAAGGTGCCACCAGTGTCTTCATGGTGCTACACTGCGTAGTTAGAGCCGTTCATTCTGGGTGCAGTGTCTCTGAACACCTATTGTTTTTCTATGGACTCCACTGCCAGGCAGCAGCACACTGACTTGCCTGCACAAATGTGAACATGGGGCAACGGGACGCAAGGGCTGGGAGAAGCCACAGGCCTCCTGCTGTCTTCCAAGCTTCATCGCAGCTGGAGGCTGGCTAACGTGACCTGTGCCTTTGTGAAATATTTCTTATTTCAGCATGGTTTTTAGATGCTAATCAAATGACTTTTGGGTTTTGATCACTGATATTCTGAGTCATGCAATTAAAGCACCCTCATGATTGAATGCAACTGATAAGATGGCTTAATGGGTACATTCTCTTTTAGTGCCCAGAAGCAGCAGTTAAACGGTTTCCACCATGGCCCGTAAGGAACAGGCTGCCTTCCACCTCTCTGCCTCTAGACTCCTCCCCTGCATCCACTTTGAAGGACAAAAGCTAACAGCTCCTCAGCCCCACACACTACCAACGGACGGGCTTCAGCGACCACCGTGGGCCACGTCCTTAAAACCACACAGCCTGGGAAGTGAATCAGTGCAAAGTCTAAAACGTTACTGTACCACACTGTGATGTAGCTGGCTTCCCCCTATTAGAGTGCTTGGGTACAAGCAATTTATTGGTCTTAATTCCTGTTTTGAATATTCATCCTCATTACAGTCAGGAAAACTTGAGGAAAAGAAACAAAGGAAGAGTTCTAATTTCTGAACAAGCCTATGCAATGATAAGTAATAAAGTAATAAGTAATAAAGTCATAAAGTATTACAATTTGTCGCTATACGGAAAAGCCAAAGAATGTCCATTTTCCTCACAGATATATCTTCTAATTATAGTCCTAAAATTGTGCTCTGTTTTTATTCCTAATATTTATGTTCTCTTGCGTAGACAAAAGCTGAGTACAAATGTATTTCCTACAACTGACTTTACTGTATAGCTAAGATCAGCATTTGCTCGTAGCCCGCAGTTTTTATCAGTTAAACCAACTTGCTTAACAGAAGATGCAAAGGCAATAATAAATGGCAATACAGAAGGGGGAAGAAAAAAAAAGACTACGTAACAATAAATACTAAAACTTGAAGTCAACTGATGCTTCATAATAGGGATTATATAGTGGTTGTTTAAAAGAACAGCAACTACATTTGGTAGCAGAAGTCCTTCCAGCTGTAGGAGCCTAAATGTGCAATTAGTTAAACAAGTCTCAACACTGCCATGACATTTCACAGGACCGTAAGAACAACACTACTGTTCTGAAGCAGGATGATCAGGGCAATTAAGGGTCTAGTGATGAGGGCAATATAGTGAACTGGCTCATATGAGTCTAAGGATAGATATAAAATGTCAATCAACACAGCTTCATGAAGAATAGGTCTTGAACAACAGGATGCATTTTACTCTTTGATGTAGTAAGCTCGGCTTGCAAAGACAGCTGCACTGAGGTGTTACCTGTAAGAACCCTAAGTCACCTACTGAAAACCAGATGAACATGTTATTTTCTTTAAAATATCAGTACTAGATCCAATCTATATGGAATGCTATGTTGAAGACAAAACTAATTTCAAAATGCAGTATTAAGAGGGAATCAGCAAGAAGGGTAGTTGTTTTCCATCTTATTAAATTTTTTTAAAGGCTCTGGCAAAAAAGGGACACAAACTCAATGGCCTGTCTGTTTGCTTTTCCCCACCCCCTACCCATGTCACTGATGTAATAAAAACTTATCACCTCTCTCTACAAACCTTGCCTTGCATTCAATTTTAAAAATCAATGATCTGAAAGAAACTGTAAAAATCACTTGCAATAAATTTGCAAAGGACATGCAGACTGCTGGAGTAGTAAAGAATGAGGACAGGTCACTTACACAGAGCAATCTGGATCACGTCATGAGCAGTATTTTAATGCTGGTAAAATACAGTGTATATTTCTAAGAAAAAATAAGGTAGGATAATAAGAGGATGATGTACCGCATTCTTGAAAAAGACTCCGAAGAGGACTTGAGCCATCAAATTCAGCATCCAAGGCAATGCTTCCACAAAAAAAGGATAATACAATTTTTGAGGAAAGAGGGGAGGAAGGTATTAATCAGAGTAAGAGGATCATGTTATGTCTCTGTAGAGTCCTAATGGATCACTGTTGACATGTGGCATCTAATTCAGATGTCACACTTAAAAATTTCAATACATGAGAAGCACAGAGAACATCATGAAGATTAATTAGTCTTTGATATCATTCATTGCCATAAGAAAGTTAAGGAATTCAGTACATCTCATCAGAGAAAAGGTTAAAAGGGACATAATCATGATTTATAACTACACACAAGCAATTAGAAAAGCTGATACTACAGAGATCAATATAAGCAATCAAATGCATAAAAAGACCAAAATAACTTAAGGTGGAGCTAGAAATGCAAATAGAAAATCAAGTGAAAAATGTACCTGGCATAATTAACTATTGCAACAGGAGGTATGAGTGAATTCTCATCACTTGAAGACTTTAAATTAATATTAAATGCCTTCCTAAAATATGTATGTTCAGTTCAAAACAAAGCCACTGAATTTAATAGCGAAACTGCTCGTTGAAATTCAATGGCCTGTTGAATTTAAAAATAAATCCTCATTATGGTGCCTTCTTGCCTTATATATATTTCAAAATAAAGCTTATAAATAACAATGAAATGGAAAGGGGTTACCAAGAAAAAGGTATTCTTTCTTTCCAGAGCACAGTAACATTTAAGGCTAGATTTAAAGCTAAATAAACTGCAGCTGCATTTTGGAAAATATGCATCCCCCCCCCGCCCCTGTTTATTTTTCCTATTTCTTGTTCAGAGTTGCACAGTCCACTTAGTCGACTGTGTCTGATTTACATAATCATGTAGTTGTTCTTCAGTTTTTCTGTTCCTATTTATAAACCATTCACAAACCATCCACTTAAGTAACAGCATGATTTACTGTAAGAATGATTATGGTTGTTTCAGAGGGAAAATGGAATGTGATTAAATGAAGAATGAACAAGGACATTCTAGAAGCGAAGGGCTCTAATCCTGCGAAAGGATTTGTAAATGAAACCTGCCTCTCAGACCCCATCCCAAACAGCCAATGAACTACTGAGGGAATTCAGCAGATACCTTTACAGCTGTGCAGCCAAGAGCTTAGCAGAAGACAAAAAACAGATAAAACAAACAAATCAGCCATGCACACAGTATCTTCTGGAGAAATGGTAAAGCTCCCAAAGCCATCCGCACTTTAGGAAAAAAAAAAGAAAAATCAATGAACTGTATGTATACAGTTGCTGATATGACTTTCTCAACACAGGTCTGAATACCAAGGCTCTAGAGGGAGATCTGCAAGCAGACCTTTGCTCTTGGATATTTAAGCTGTGGATCCAGGAGAACAGAATCTTTTCCGTATGAAATAAACGTTTTGCAGGTGCCACAGGAACCCTAACAACCCATGCTTCTTACAAAAATGGTGAACAGCCTCATGGAAGAATATCAAAGTTCAATATTTTCACCTGAAGTACTTATTCTCTGCTATATTCTCTGCTATTAAGAATGAGTGGTGAAAAAAACCCTATTTGTTTACCAGTAACACTGCCGCGTTTACAACACAGCTACCTACCAGGAACAGCTGAGAAGCTCCATAAAGGAGAAGCTATGCTACAGAACCCCACTTGTCAGAAAAAAACAGACATAAAAATGAAATCCTGAATAGGTGTTCATACAGAGTACTGCTTTTAAAAGTTCGTGTTAGTCTGAAATAAGCAGCAGTGATGGATCACATTCTTGTTCACACACAGATAATCCTGGTCCATTCGGACAGCACATGCACCCGTAGGAACTTAGGAGATCCCACACTAAATTGATAGTACTGCTTCTGAAATTCATACGGAATTATAGAGCCGTTCAGGAGAGCACAATAACTTTTCATAGTACATTATCTTATATGCAGTGGTTCCCAAACAGTGAGGGAGAGATAAGAATATTTTAGGTGAAGCAAAGCATGGAGCCCAAGAAAATCAGCTTTGCAAGATCTGCGCTGAATGTGTGTGAAAATCCCACTTGAAGTAGTCTGAGGAGCTGCAGATGGGCTAAGCTGAGGGACTGATAGAAGGCAATGGTAACATCCCTGCTGCAGGGACACTGAGTTACCCTGAACCCTCCTGTTTTTTCAAGGGGAAAGTACTGAACCGCTCTTTTCAGAAGTAGCACCGTTATTTCAGATAGAGATAACTCTTCCTGTTACTAGTACAATGATTTAGATGTTAGCGATAATGAGTACACAGCTGAGACTGCAGCTAGTAGTAATGCCCTGGCTAAAGGAAAATAAAACTTTAGCCTCAATACTTACAAGCTATATACTAAAATCTATTTTTACTCAAGAGTTATAGTAGAAGACTGAGAAACTTAAAATTCCAGGGACGGCTCTAATTTAATTATGATGTCTATAGCTGCAACCATGATCTAGGGTCTAGCATTTCTGTGATGCACTTCTGTCTAGGGGTTGGTACCAGTTTGGTTTCAGACTCGGTCTTGTTAACCAATGAAATGGGATTCCTGTGGCCAGCTGAACTGCTTTTTCTATAAGGACCAATTTTGCGAGGAGCAGCAATGGGTGTCTGCAACTGCTGCATTTTTGTAGATAACACTGAATCAAAGGAAGAACTACTAGCAGATGTGTGGTCAGACTTCTCCCAGTTTTCCTTGCCCAATTGCTCTGTGTTCACCTGTGCTTTTGTACTGTAGGGTGACTTATCAGAGGGTGGAGGTGGAGCTCTTCTTTTCTTTCTTCTGCTATCATTAGGACTTGTAGTATCTCTTTTTGGGCCCAGATGCATGTTCTTCTGAACAACCATCTCATGAGACCCATCAAATAGTGAAGCCCATAGGGAAGACGCAGACTCTTTTTGCTGGCCAAGCAGGAACTTGCCATCACTCTCTTCGATTTTTCTTTGTATGATATCAGCTAAGCCCTCATGTTTCACTGGAGAATCAATGCCTGTAATTTTAAGGGACGGCAATTAACTCAGATTAAAATGCTACCAATGATTTTACTGCTACCTATTATGTTACTGCTATTCCAAATACAAAACTGTATTAACTATATCTCATGAAGTCTGGACTACTATTAACAGTATTAATGGATGAAATGGAAAAGATTACGTATGCTTTCAAAGAGAGAACTGAGGTGACAGGAGGGAACTGTTTTCGTGACAGCTGGCATTAATATTTCTTTCCATATAAAAGTAGAAAAAAATAATGTACTACTAGGAAACCTATATGTATTAGATATTAAACATATTTTGTTGTATAGTGCTTTGAAAATTTCGTTTCACAGAAGGCCCATGAAAATGTCTATGACTAAATATTCTTGTGCTTCCAGCCTGCAGAAAATGGGACATCTTTACATATATCATTTTTCTTTATGTGCTTTAAGACTGTCTTGCCCCATTTCTTATCCCTCATGTTGAGTTTTCTATGTATACTGCAGTAATACTAGCCTCAAACTGCAGCAATATCTTTTCGATTGCAGGCCACACGTTAATGATTTTCAACACATTTTTAAACACGGGGTTTTACCTATGAATACTATAAATAAGCAGGGGAAAAAAATGGTATATTACGAATGAAACAGAGTTTGTGTTCTGCTCCTCACTGATGTACTTGAGTATCAGTAGAATTATGCTACCATGTTACCTTCGTAAAACTTCTACATAGTTGATTTACTGGCTTTCTGCTCTGCATTCGTAGCTCAGATAGGACTCTCTTGACTGTTCAGTGCTCTGATGCATGGTAACTCAATGACCCACATGGCATTTTGAGCATCTTCACAGTTCCAATCTCAAGCAGCAAGCAGTCAGGCATTTATAGTTGTACAGTGTGTCTCAGCCAATACTGCATCGGATCCATTAAAACAAAGTGACCTACTTTTTCTAGTTTGTAAATATTATTTCTGTAATGAAACTATTAAAATAATCCTGCTGCATACCATTTTGCTCTGTAAAAATACAGGTCTCAAACACATGCTAGCTAGATTTTCCAAGCATATTTTTCAACATCATTACCAAAGACCAAACAATTTGGCAAGTTATGTTAGGTAAGCCTTTAAATAGCTTTAAGAACAGCAAATTAATTTCATGCGACTCGTTAAAGATATTATTGGTTTGCAGACTGGACTATTTTACCTTTACATTTTCTGAGCTGTATACTATTCTTATGATGAGTGTTTATTTCTAGTGACAGCTTTTTTTGAATGCGTTCAGGGCTCCTTAGTTACAGATTGCAGATTTTTTGGCTCAAGGTATAAAAATGTATTCATTATTTGTGCTATTATAAATTCAGATTTAATATGAACTCCTTGGTATGCAATTATGTTGCTCTTTCATTGTCTGAATTGTCCTTGAAAAACTCAGTGTTACAACATCAACACCAGAAGCCATCTGAATACAGACAATGTTGTTTCTGTTACCCTGCAACTTGTAAAGACAAATCCCACTTACTCATATCATGGTAGACGGAGGTCGCTTCTTTTGTCAAGAACAAAGGTGGTTTCCGTGGTGACATAATCTCAATTTTCATAAGTTCTTCACAACAATGTTTCCACTGGCCTGAGAGAGAAAAGAGAACAATGACTGGAACTTAAACACTTCAGCTTGAAAAAAATTGAAGTTATTAGGCTGTGTTAGGAAACTATCTCCAAAGCAATGCTAAGCACTAAGCATTTACTTTTGTTTAGAGGCATGCTCAGGGTGCATTTGTATTTTCAAGTCTGTACTCATTCTCTTAGCACAAACAACATAAGCTACTACTTTTAATTTAAGCATCCCAGCAGTACTGTTATACTATGAAGGTTAAATATCATAATTTGCCTTCAAATCCCCAAATACAGGATAAATTCATCAGAAAAAAAAAAAAAAAATTAAGGTTAGGGAAGCTTCATGAAGTTGTCAGGCACGACCTCCAATATACTGCAAGCTGGATGTTATACAACTATGTTACAATGTTACAGTAAAGGAACCTTCTGTCTTTAATAGAGGATAACTTGCCTTTTATCCGTTAGCAGACAAGGAAACCTCTTTTTCTATTAATAGATTTTGACCTTAAGGAAAACAAGACACAGTAAAATTACTTTGTTCATACCAATCATTCCAAGTTTTCTGAGCACATTAATTTTAAGAGAATTTTAGAACCAGGGAAGAAAAAAGGCATTTAAATGCCAAGTGACCCATTTTTTCTGAACCTAAGGAAAATGTCTCAAAAATCCATGGGTATTCTATCTATAATGAATAAGAAGTAGTTCTCTTACCCCACTCTACAGCTAATTTAAAGAGGATGCCCTAGTTTTTGCTTGGTGTGTTTCTTTAATTGATAGAGCTGTTTCTCATTGTAAATCAGAGCTAGAAAGGACTAGAAATACAAACTACAATACTGAGTTTCCACAACCTTAATTCACTGATTTTATTGGTGTAGCCTCTGACTAAAGACTGTTATTTCATTAATTGACCTGGTTCTGTTTCTGACCTGATAAAAATGACTATCAGGAACCAACTATACCTTGTCAATGACAGCATAATAACTGACAGTTGCTCTCCACTCTTAATAAACCTGTGAGTCAAACTATTAAAGCAGAGGAAAAAGATGAATTAATCTATATAATTCTTATAATAAATATTTGGTGTTAAACAAGTGACACAGTATACTATTTCAATAACATTTCACTGTTTTACACCAATAAATGAGTTTCTTCTCTCATGTAAGAACAGTGGTGTTCCAGAGGTTAGTCAAAGGATCAGGGTATCACTTTATCATCTCATTTATATCATCTGTTACAAAGCCTCAGGTACAGCTTTTACCAGGTTCAAGTAAGCAGCATGTATTTGCATGACTGGATTGGAGTGTGGCTAGGTGAGCATATTCCCATGTGACAAGGGGGACCAAAACTTTAGAATTACCAAGAGAATCAAGTAATCCCTATTGCAACAAATTGCAATTTAATCCATCCATAATACTGCTGAGCAAGGAAATCCCATATACATCTGCCTACTTGCAAGGGCTGGCTAAATCTGCATCCTAGCCAAGGCCCCAAATGAACCCAGCGTCCTCACCACTTCCCACTAAGGCTTCCACGCCCAAAGGTTTCATACTTGCACAATCTCACGAAACCAACACACCACTGGTAGGATGCCCAGGCAGAGGTGGACTCTTCCTGCTACAGTGGAGGAAGAGATTGCAAGAATTTAGCAGTCCTTAAAAAAATTATCTAGAACACTGCTAAAAGAGACCAAGTTCTTTTGAGATTGATGGATATATTCTGCTTCTGGTTTCCTGCAAAAACACAGACTGAACATGTGGACTTCGGTTCAGTCAAATATTTGCCTTCCAATGGCTTAGACCACCACCCAGTATTACCCCAAAGAACATTTTTCTTCTCATCGTTGCAAACAAAGGCTTATGAGGCAATTCCAATTCAAATTGTTCAAAGATCCTTTTGATGTTACATAACGCCCCACTTGGAGGGCACGCTGCCAGCACTGCCTGCTTACTTACTCAGATCATAAAAATGCTGCCAGAAAGCCTCCATCCACTTATGAAGTTCGTCCCTACTGTCAGTAGCAAAAAGTTGAGTCACAGCCTCTCCAGACACGAGGTTGATAACAGAGAAGTTATTAGTTCTTCTCTTGGAGTCCTTATCCACAGCTCGAATTCTGGTTTCCTAGGAACAACAAACTGTGGTAATGAGTTATTGCTTCAGCTCCACACTGGTATCACCCTATGGCCAATGACAGTGTAAGGGAGGTATCATTTGGCTTTTTATCTAATCCAGATTAATTTTCAATTTAAAAAAAAAAAAGAAACTAATGTCAAGAACTGCTTATAAAAATATTTTCTCATAAAACTATTAAAATGGCATAAAATATGAAAAATAAGGGAATGGAGCACAATTGTTGCAGCTTAGTTCTGAATTACAGAATGTATGTTCTATATTTCCCCTCCCTCTGCCTTCACCAGCTCATCTCACACTGCTCGTTCTTCTCCACAGTAGTTTAGTGAATAATCTAAAATAAGAGCAAGTAGCTCCTTTTCTGTGAACTCTTCAGCTGGACAACCACATTGTGCCACTACTATTTAGGTCTCCTACCGTACTTCTGTGGGCCATAGTTTATGCAATGTATTCTAAACTTGTACCTATTTTATGTTCATCTCAGTGAGTCATGACATTCAGGGCTAACACTACAGTGACAGGAAATTTAAAAAAAAACTTATCTAGACCACATTTAAAGAAGCATTTGTAGCAGTTACCCATACAGTTCTGCTAGAACAAATTTCCAGCATGAAAAAACATTTTGCTCTAATAAAAAAAAAAAAATCCTATTTGTCATTTAAAAATAGACAATTTAGTTTTGCCTTAATTAGGGAGAGCTACACAGAAATACTTAAAAATATATGTAGTAGTATATCGCAAGTCTGTCAAATTTCTTCAGCTAATGGTAGAAAGGCTCTCGGATTACTCAGCAGCACTGTTACAAGCCAGGGTTTCCCCTTCTGTTCAGGGACATAGTTCAATTGATTTTTATCATCTAGACTAGATCCAGTGGTATTTTCATAGTATCCAGTTTCTTTGTTATGGCATTACTACAATAAAAAAAAGCACTTACCCCTAACTGAGTGAAAAAAAAATTTCTTTTCACGTGTAAAAAAGGATTCTAGTAAAAGTCTGATAAAACACAACTGGTCAACTTCGCTGCTCCTCACAACATGATGAACAAAATAAAATAATTAACATTACTTTATTTACAAAAGTAAAAGTAGAAACCCTGGGAATATCTTTGCATATACAGTTCAACCTGACTGAACAAGCAATGGCTTTATTACAACACTGCTCTTAAAAGAGTTTTTGGCATACTCAGGAGAGCAGCACAATCCCAGATCCTGATGGGACAATGAGCTTTGATGCCAGGGAGACGGCCAGCACCCTACGGCCGGCCAGCCCGGGGCCTGGCAGGACAGGAGGCCGCCTAACGAACATTAAGACCGTGCAGCACCCTCCTGCTGCGTAAGGGTGTCCCCTGGCATGGGGAGTGCCCCAGGTTTTGAAGGAAGACAACAACCACAGCCAGGGTTGTGTTTGAACATCTCCTGTCTGGATGGACAGTGAATCTGACCACAAAGGTGGCCTCGGGGCATTCCTCAAAACACAGTGGGGACAGATCAACCATGTTCCTTTTTACACAGTTCAACCACATGTCAAACATCTGCTAAAGATGTTAAACATACACCTACAGAAATTAAGTTTACGCATGGGCTCCCATGGGGATAAGCCTAGTTCTGATACTCAGAAAAACAAAAATTATTCTACAGAACATTCCCCAGATTTTAAATGCATTACTGAAGTAACCATTTGAAATACCAACAGCTGCTTGTAGCATATCTGATAGATATGCTCATTTAAATTCTTCTGTCTAAAAATAGGAGATGAAGTAATTCATCCATAAGTGCTCTATATCCCATTAACTCAGGTAACCATAGATACCAGCAAAAAAATTAAATCAAATAGATTAACATTTGACAGGTAAGAACTTCACGCATACCATACACACAAGCTTATTTAATGATGTTTGCTGCAGGTTTTATCCCACAGCTATGGTATTATTCAAAGGAGATAAATCCTCAAGCAACAATCTATATGTGATGCTTGAATATTTAGGGTGTGATACAGGATGCCATTATAGTAATGGGCTGAGGAATTTACCAAGCTTGGGTGAATTACACTACATGCCCAGTTCCACTTAACAAAAAAACCCCCCAAAACCAAACCAGAACACCCCCCCAACCACCAACCCCCCCCCCCGCAAAAAAACCCAAAACAACAACAAAGAAAAGTATCTTAAGGTACCACATTATAACAACACTCAACCTTTCGTAGTCTTATAGACAACTGAATCAACTCTGCTACAGCTATCATATCAGTGGATTGGAATAGGAAAAACTGAGTTGAATCTTGAACTCAGATGACTCTTTCGGGGAAGCTGAAGCCAGTTTTATGTCCTATATGCAAAAGATTATTTTTTTGGAGGTGGAGAAAGACTAAAAGGGAAAATGATAGATTTTTTTTTTTTAAATGGAATATAAATACAAATCTTCCTCTATACTTTTCCCCCAAATCAAAAAATCTCTTTGCCTGTAATACCTCTCTAGAAAGCTCATCTTTCAAGCTAAAAAGAAAACAAAACCAAGCCCCCCCCCAAAAAAAAGAAAAAAGAGAGAGAGAGAAAAGGTTTTTATTGCTGAGGTGCAACACTTTCTTGCTAACCAATCCCAACACACTGAGGAGCACTGGTTATAAAGATCATTTTAAGACAACAGAACAAATTACAGTTCTTGAGAAAAATACGGAATAACCTAAGATCCAGTTCTGTGTATCTATTTTAAGATCAAAGAAACCAAATCACATATAACAAACTTCCTTCATATTTTTAGTACCAAAAAATAAACCAAGAAATAACAACACAACACTGGAAACAAAATATATTCTGTTCATGTGCTGGTTTCTGCTGTAATGTTAATAATTTCCATGGGGTCTGTTTTAGGCAAGCAGGGAAATATGGTTAAATTTAAAATTATGGCTTTCAAACACATTAATGCACAAGACTGAATTCACCAGATCAGCTACGAATATTTCCTCCTTTCATCTTCATTGTTTTGTGAACTTGTATTAACGTAACATCCTTGTGGCTATTGGATGGTAAGTATAATGTGTAAGTATAATATGGAAAAGCAATATTAGGATTTCTATGTCATTTTAGCTATCTTCAGTGCAACGCAGCAGCTAAAAACCAGGAGAAGGAGATGGCATTACATTACCAGCCAGCATTCTGTGGAGCACCAGGGAGCCATAAAGTATAGTTTCCAAACCACTCAATTTGAGCATGTGTGTTATAAGGTCCACCGTGTGGGATCTGGGTATTATATCTGCTTTCCCTGCCCACATCCACAATCTCTTACAAGCAATTGCAGGACTAAATTGAGCAACATGATGTGAGATACCAGACATTTGGAGGCACTTAACTAGTCTGCTTTTCCAAAATATTTTCACATGTATGAAGGCTTGTCTAAATCAACCAGTGGGACAAAGTTCTTACTACAGAGAACATAGATATTTTCAGGTCTGCTCTCATTTCACCACTGCTGGAGTTCCCTGACGCACATGGAGAACACTGCTGATATTGCTGCCTCCCTAAATGTTCACATAGTCAAGAACTCCTATCGATACCCTTTTGCTCCAGTCCAACGGTGAACTCCCTGGTTCCCTAGAAATACTGCATGGTTCCCTTGAAGTTATGCTGCTGCAGCCATCGCTACATTTTCCAAGAAATTTCTCTACCTGACCTAGCCTAGAACAGATGTTCCAACAAGAACTGTCATTCAAGGTAGGAGTCTGCAAAAATGCCAGCTTGATTTTGTCCTTTCACTCCTGCTACACTGTTTAGCAATCAGTCTATAAACCCTGAGCCCATGGCTGCAAACACTTGTTGTTACTCATCCTGTTCACCTCAACGATTAGCATGAACACGGAGATAGCTCTGGGCCTGCTGCACTGCGTGGCACCAGAGCAAAGACTGCACTGGCAACATATGCCAGGAAGAAAATCACGGGCCTACATTAAAGTGATGTCCCAGAATTCCTTAAGCTTCAGGCATACATGGCACAAAAAAAGTTTTATAATCTATGACCAGGACACAATAGAATATGTATTCCAAATACTGAGCAACTAATGTGAACTGCTGGCATATGCACCAATTCGCTAAGCTATCAGGTGTAGGCAAGACCTTTATTATCCATTTCGAACTAAAGAAAACTTGAAAAAATTTCAGGAACTGGTCCATAAGGAATGTTTCTTGTTCAAACTGGATTCCAGCAAATTTTCTTTGCTACAGAAAATATAATTTCTCTTTTCCTACTTAGTTGTGCAATATAATATGTTATAATCGCATTTAGCTGGAACAATAATAGTAGCACTTGCATAATAGGAACTGCAGAACCATTCTTGCTCAACAGCAGTAGCAGTGAAGTCATCTGAAGTTGAAGTAATGACTTTACTGGTCTTAATAGCTTCTTCAAGTCTCAATTCAAAGGGAATGGGAAATAAGGCTATCAGCGTGAATATTTTCCAGAGAGTTTCTCATAAATCCAGATGATTTCATTACTTTTCAGAAAGTATCTTTCAATTACTTGTAAAGGATCAGCTTCACATTACAAATGAAAATGCCACATAGGCAACCAGAAGAGATTTTAGTTGAACATCTAGAGTTGATGTTCAATCTCAACTTTCATTTTGAAATTGCTGTTTCTATAACAACAGACAAACCCATGTGATTAGTTTGCTTTCATTTAATCCATAAGAGAAATTTCATAACAAAGGAATCAAAAATATCTGCAGGCATTAAGTTATTTTCAAGAGAAACTGTTTAAGTACTAAAGTATCCAAATGTGTTTTAAATTGCCATTTTTTTCTGGTTTTAATTTAAATTGAAGAAGGATTCAGTCATATTCTTCAGCAGTCTGACATTTCTGTAAAATGGTATAAGATACATGATTTATGTACCTTCTACGTGTTAGCTTTAAGGATACCCTGCAAATGTATGGACGGTCTCCCAGCAAAGGCTTATTAAGCTGAATTTTAGGTTCTAAGTGTACTGGTAACTTGGAGGAACAAAATACCTTGGTACAATATGGTTATTTCAAAAGGAAAAGCAAAACTAGGATATAGACCAAATCAGAGACCTCCAGGGAAAGATACAAGGTAGCCTGATAGATAAATTTTAAAAATATTACTGCCACATTTTAGAATATGGACTTAGCCATTCTATAATTTACTGAAGTTTACCATTTCTTAACTGATATTGTGAACAGCTGGAAAACAGAATTATGGCAAAGGCTGACTAGTGCAATTAAAAGTGACTGAAGAGGTAAGCAAGTAAACCTGCTGAAATATATATCACAGTCTAGACATTTATTTAATGTAAATGCATGAAAAACTGGAAGAAAAAATGGCTTTGTTAAAAGATACGGCACTGGCAGAAAGGTGTTTTTAATTAAGGAATCAATTTAAATCTTAGCACATCAAAAGAGAAGTCCTAACACAAACAGGTGATATTGTTATACCTTGTTTAAATGTTTGGTTTATATACAAGTCTCACCCTAGGTGAGAATGCAGTCCTATTTTCCAGAACCTTTAAAGCCACCAAAAGCTGATATTGCTGTTCTAAGGAGGAGTTCTTTATTACTCTATGTTGTTACGCATTCCCAGTCGTAGCCTAGACCCTTTCTTGTACAACACAATCATTTGTGTAGCCACGTAGTGAACTGGATAAGAGAATTTATTAAAGGGAACCGCAGTTGAAGCCAACCCTCCTCCTGCCCGCAAAATGAGCTAATTTTAACCCACATGAGTTCCCTTGTCCAATTCATCAGTCAGCTGCCCTAATGCCTGCCCTGGCATAAAGCAACACAGCAGCCTGAACAAGCAACCGGACAGGAGGAATCCTTCTTTCAGAATTAGCGTTGGCATCAAGCGTTCACAGTAGTACAGCAGCAGAATCCAGATCGACCTGTGCTTAACACAGTTTCCAAATGTGTCTACTTATGTAAGACAAATCCAGCTATGTCAATTGCAAATAACATTAAATTCCTCTGCTCATCCTTATGTGATATTAACTCTTGATGACTGCACCAAAACCAATTTTTGAAAGCATCTGTTCACTCTAATGCTCGCCATTCTAGAAGGTCCTTCCAATAACATTCCTAAATCGAACGCTTAAATATTACTTCAGATTAAATACTTTATGCTTCTTTAGCCAAATAGTAAGTAACTTTTTAACTTTATATTTTAAACTCAGCCTTTCCAGTCAGGGTATGAAAAGCAGCAATAATAACCATCCTAGAGAACAGAACTTCCAAAGTTACTGTGCCCTGTACAAAACCAGTATTAAGAAAAGTAGCTTATTTTAAGGCACTAAAATATTTTGAACAATTTTCCAGCTCTCTTTCTAATTAAGACTGTGGCCAAATAACACACAACAACAAAAAAGCTTTTGTTAAAATTCTGCCTTGCTGAGGACAAAAGTCTACCAGAGCATTGCTAAGGGACTGTAAGCAATAAATTTCCAAGGGCTGTCTTATGGAACTGTCATATAACAAGTTATCAGTTTTCCTAAAGAAAAACCTCCTCCTTTTTACCTCTATGTTAACCAGTCTAATGCAATAGAAAGAACTTAAGTCTACAGCTAAGAAACGTAATGGCCTTGCTAAAAAATTCAGTAACTGCAAATTTCACTGAAGCATATCCCACCCACATGCTACCTATAAAGCATTCTGCATACCAGCAGCTTAGAGCCCAAATGACTGTAGGTATGTCTTAAAACAAAAACAACCTCCCCCAAAATACACAAAAAACCCAAACCCCAAAAAACCTATACAACCAATTTTACCTTGTGGATGGAAACTGTCAATGCTGGCTCCAGTTTAGCCTCAATTTCTTCTGGTGAGTAATAACAAAAGAGCTTGCCACCTCTTAGTACACAATACAGCCTCCTCCAGCTAGTTAGACTTCCTATCAATTGCTAAAGGGAAGAAGTAGTCAGAAATTGCCAAACATAAACTACAAATTAAGAGCATATTACAAGGTATACACAGATCAGCCCTGTGTGATCAAAACTTAGCCACACTGAATTCTTTCCTAAAACAAAGACCTTCTACTGCAGAACAATTCAGAGTCACTGATTTTTGAAATGTTAGCAATACTTTAAATATCTTTTGGCATTTTACAGTTTTCACAGATTTATTGCCATGTGACACTAACAATACAGAATCTGCTGGTTCACACAGAATGAAATTTAGAACTTGTGTCTACTGTAAGAAAGAAAACACCTTTTTTAGCTCCAGTAATTACACAATAAGAGAAATAAAAAGAGTATCTCACTTTGGAAATAACAGAGTACATTCAACAAATGTCAAGCAAAGACGTTTGTCTAGAATTTCCACTTTCTCAAATGAATTTTCTGAACAGCTTTCATAAATGCATTATAGTTTCACAACCAGTTTAAAGCCTGTTATTCAGCACTCCTGACAAATGACCCAGCTGCTCTGGCCCTTTGCTATCACCTTCTCGTTTGCCTCGTTGGGCAATGAACCAAAATAGAGAAGTAAACTGAGTTCACATGAATCATTTTTGAAGGGATGAGTTTAAATATAGCTCGGTTCACCAGACAGATTCACCATGTTGTGATATGAACTCTTCTGCTAGCACAATGAGAGGTATATACAAGGATGAGAGCCACAGGATTATTAGGACTGCTGCCGTCAAGTACAAGCCTAAACCAATTCTGAAGCAACAACTATACTTGATCTTCATGTAACGGCCTAAATAATTTTACTGAAAAGCATGCCAAGGAAACATTTATTTTTTCACGCTTAGCCACTGAAGATACTATTTGTAAACACAGCCGTGAGATAAATTTTCCCCTTGCTCGAGGTAGTACAGGTGAAAAATAACAGTTCTCAAGAAACTACTTCAGGTAAAAGCAAATGTTTTAACAACTGACTCTTAGTGACAGCTATTAGCAGAAGAGGATGTAAACACAAGCAAGGTCCTCTTACCTGCTGATTAAGAAATCCTGCCATCATATCCCTAGCCATGCAGGAAGGCTGAGCAACTAAACGGCAACACATGTTTCCATATAGGGGGAGCCAAAAAGAGGATTCCTCTGGGGGAAAAGACCAGGCAAAAGAAAGACAAACACTTAGTTCCAAACATTTGCCTTAAATATATAGTTGAGCTTTCTACATCCATTTTTACATTAAGATCATGACTGAAAATAAGCATTTTTTAATATTTAAAGAGATTTCATCCTGCATGATTAGACTAAAACTGATTTTTAGTCTTCAGTAAGTTTTTTAATTGAAAGAAAAATAATTTCAAGTAGAAATGGAGATATTGTTCTGCAAGAACAAGTTGTTCTTACATAAAATATAGCTCTAAATCTCATTTCACAGCTAGAAACATTTTTGAAAGGTAAGCACGCTGGCCATCTCATCTAAGGAGGATCCCTGAGCCCAACCCATCACGGCGCACAGCTACATTTACACACAAGCACTTTGCTTCAGATTGTTTTATTAAGGCTTAGAATTTGTATCTACTTCCGTCTTCAGCACTAGAAGAGCATTTAGGATTCCAAGGAGTTTCTAAACAATTGCAATATCCCTCCTCACTCAGCTCTGCTATGGAATAGGCTCCCTCTTTAGAAGCAGGTAATACAACATTCCATTGACATGACTCTGTCTTTAGTCATGTTTTAGAAATGCTTGTAATGAACCAAAATATCCAGGTATGTCATTTCTCACCAGACTAAGTTATGTAAATTAATGACAGAAAAAGGAATTTGAGGAAGAAAGAGTATAAAGTACTAATAAAGAAAGGCTTACAAATATCAAAGATACTCAGAAATATTCATCCAACCCTTCAAGAAACAAATGCCCCATAAATCTTCAAATCTGTACTTATTTGGAATTAATGAAGTGTAAAGAATGAAATTCTCTTTCAGGTCAAGTTTACCCAAGTAAAAGATAAAGTTCCCAGAAGCTACAGTGAAATACAGTGAAAATATCATGTCTTACATTAACAGTTAGAGGGTGGCTTACAGGAGGGCCTATCCTTTCAGAAAATAATGGATGAAGTATCAAAAGCTGTACTCCTGCTACTTAAAACATTACCTTCAGTCGCAGCATAATCATAGTCCCTGTGTTAGCATCTAGGTTGACTGCTGCCAACTTGTGCTATCCCAGAGCTGAAGTACAGCGACCAACGCAAACTGCAAGCACACATGCTTACATCCTGTGTTAAATCTGGGCCTGAAACAACCTAGCTGAACTGAAGCTATTTTTCTACTTTCCTTCTGACTACAGAGGAAAAAGCTGTTCTTCATTCTGATACCCTTCCTTGGTTGTGAGGAAGGGGAAATAATTTGTATATAGCTACGACTCACATAAAACCGAGATGCAAATGACAGAAGAAACTCCCAAAAGAATTAAATTTTCATCTGGACTTGAAATTTTACTCAACTTACAGTTTATTCAGCTGTGTACAGATGCCTGTTTTAGAGCCGTTAAATATTTTATTAAAGTTGTCCTATATTAAGTATCAAGAAAAATAATCTCTTTAAGCTCTTTAATTTACAAGAGAAAGAAATGCAAAATGTTACTGGTTTTTTATTTCCTTAAATTGGTACCATATGTACTTACCATTTCCTGTAATGGTAAGGTTGTGTGTCCTGAAATTGTCCTCAGCACTCTCCAGCCCCAAAGTAGTATATGCTAGCAAACTGTACTTTGCTCCACTAAATGTGAAAGAAAAGGCACGTTTAAGACATTTCGGCTTCACATTGCTCAGGCAGTAATTAAAGGGAGTCTAGACATGCCCGAGATAACACATTTGGGTAAAGGGAATGCCAAGGTACAAGGTAGCACCTGCCAGTGACCACACATTGCCACCCCCCAACCTCTTCCCACAGAACTCCCGTATCTCTGGTTTTCCTTGCAAATCAACACTGTCCTGCAGTCTGTTCATCTGCTTCCTATACCTTATCTCCAGCCTCTACCCTGTGTGTACCTCCAGTTCCCTCCCACCCCACAACTTCCAGGCCAAAGCCACGAGGCCCCACCACGTGGCTCTTTCCATAGCCACCTCTCTTGGACCTGCCAGCCAGCACACTTCTCATGTGGCTGCTGCCTACGAGCTGGGCTCACGCTTACTGCTGAGCCAGCGGCTGCCAAACCCAGGCGTAAAGGCTGTGCTATCCAACTTCTCTGCACCCTGAGGATGCTAAAAGCATCTCTCTCCTCTAGTCAGACACCAGGTAACTTTTAATAGTTTTACAGCTTTTATTCCTAGGCTTAAAGCAACTAAATTCGGTAATAGGTTCAAAAATTGCTATAGTTAACAGAACAACTGATGAGATAAAGTTTATCTGAAAAAAAAGGTTAAAAATTAAAAGGCCTTATACTGCTCCTCCATATTGCTTGCTCTTTTGCTTTGCCTGTGTAGACTACACTTTATTAAACAGTTGTTTATGTAGGCATTTAATAGTATCTAACAGCTTGATTCTTCACATGCAGAAATCTGTGCAGAAATCTTAGAGTCAGTTTTGTAGCATAAAGGACTCTTTCACTTATTGTGCTTACAGGTTTCAGAATGTTATATCTTTGTATTGGATTTTGCCTAGGGAAAAAAAAAATCACATTTACAATTCAGCATAGCGCATGTGGAATGCAATTCTTGGAATAAACTAGTATAAATTTGGTGTATGTTTAACCTTTTCCCCCAAATACTCTTCAGACCGAGTAACAGATTTACAGTCCAGCAATGCAGTAAGAATTCCAGAATTCCACCTGGCTAATGGCAGTTTAAACAAAGTTCACAAGAAAACAAACCTCTCAAAATTACTAACTACTCTCCCTAACAGGATCTAGCATAAAATCCTTAAAATATCTCCAGTACAGTATAAGATAGCTTAGTGGTGTAAAAGGTGAGAAGACACTACTGAACTAACATCACTAAAAATAGTTGTCTATCATAGTATTTTTCAAAAGTTATTTTTCCTAATAGCACAGTGGGAACATACAGTTTTAAAATCTTTGGCCTTGCAGAGAAACAAGGCAGATGCCTAGCTAGCCCTAACCCTAATGAAAGAGGAGGAGGAAAAGTAGCAAGTTTGTTAGCAGGGAGGTCTGTTATACATCTATCTCAAGGGAATAAAGAGTAAATTAAACATGATATAACATTCTGGGAAAAAAAAACCCACTGCTGTGAAACATTTCAAGAGGGCAATCTGAACAAAAACTCATCAGCATTTGTATATATTCCCTGCTAGACTGTTCCCTAAGAAAAGATTCTCCACTGATTGTGTTTTGCCATGCAGTTGAGCAATACATTACCATTCTATTTAAACTGTACCAGAAAGTTCAGTTTCTTTGCACAGATAAAACTTCTGTGCTGATTTTAAAGTTACTTTTTTCTAAAGCATGACTAATTACCACAACAAACTTGCCAAAAAAAATAGCTACTTCACTTTTAAAATATGCTTCACAGTAACATTTTCGTTCTAAAATATAGCAGTCATTCCTTTCAGCCAGCTGCAATGTAATTTAGAAAAGTTTTATCTGCAAATATTTTTCAATTTAACTGGCTAATCAGGATGTTGACTACATTTTGCCTCTACATTTCACAGAATTAGCTACCTGCCTTAAAAGGCAGTTTCTTTGTATAACAAAGAATAATCTGCCTGCTGCATCTCATTCAGTACTTTGCATATCTATAGTATTTTTTCCATGTAATAACTCTATTAAAAAAAAAATCAGCTTATCTCCACAACATGCCTGTGGCAAAGGCTCGTTGTTAAATCTGTTTACTGATCAAGAGAAAGAGGCACCAAAGTTGCCACACAGACACTGGCGTGGGAAGGTGTATATCACCCTTTCTATCGATGCATATTAATTAATACATCTCGGATTCCAGAATCTGTTCCTGAATATTAATCCCCATGTTAGAAATCCCAATCTTAGTTCACTCATCCAGATATATAGAGTGGAGGATTTGTAAGTCCAAAAAAAAAAAATCTAATATGCTCACCTTCCAATCAGATCTGAAATAACAGAAGGTAAAAACAAATATAACCTTCAGGTACTAAAAAGAACCCAACCGTAAAAGCAAGGCCATTAGATTAGGCTACGTACTTCTAGCAAAATATCGCTATGAATTTGCCAATTCAAACATAGGACAACGAAGCCATGCCTCCAGCCCAGCGGAGGACAATACATAAAAAAGCAATAACAACAAGTCTATGTGTAGGCTAGTTCTGCAAGCAAATAAACATGCATTTCAGGGAGTCTCTCCAAAGATTTATCCGAAGAGCAACCTAGTTACTCTGGAGTTTAATAGTATAACTGCACTAAACATTTTCCTTCTATGACAAATGTAAAAAGAGAAAAAAATTAAGCTAGAACAGAAAAATTAAGCATGCAAAAGACTATATAGAAATTCAATGAGAGGTAATTAAGAGTAGAGAGAGCATCAGTATAACTGAAGTTAACCAACCTAAGCAACCAAAGCACTTTGTCACCAAACTTTTGAAAGAATTTACAATGCTGACAGCTTCCTCACTAACCAGGGAGATTTCTAAGCCAAGAAGTTTGACACAGAGGGGTCACAGAGTTTTTGGAAAATGGAGAACTTAGCCTATGTGTGCTCTGAAAAGAAAAAGGCCTATACAGCTGAAATCCACAAAGAAAAGGTGTTCGTATAATACAGAAAGTTCCCTTTTCTGTTGCAGTTTAATTTCATCTGCTGGACTGGTAAAACTCTCTGGAAATACTTGAAAGACCTCTTGTAATCTTGCAATCTCTTCCTCTTTATAAGGACTACATACCAAGGTCTTACTAATATAAATCCTAAGGGGAGCCTATAAAAAAAAAAAAAAAAAAGACAACTTATTTTCTGCCTATAATAACCCATTTCTTTCCAATAATCTTTTTTAATCACCTAGAAAAGCCATCATTAAACACATCATTGTTCATTTGACTCTGTTAAGAAAGTAACAGTTACTGTAGGATGATTCTTAACAGCAGAAACAATAAACTTTAACATGGAGGAAAGCAAAATACAATTACAATTGAGAAACCAAAAGCAAAACCCAAGGGCGGAGGCAGTTGTTTAGATTGTCTACTGATGCTTATTCCTTAAAAGACAGGCAATCTATATTCAAGAGAGTATGGCCAGCAAATAAGCTAGTTGTTATATCTGAAGCAAACTGTATGTAATGATAGTGTGTCATCGCCCAGCTGCAGCTTGTGGAAAGCACAGCCACCTGAGATGATGCAGATCGAGAGATACATTGTCATTAGGTGGAACACACTGGAAAGTTAGTGATAAAATTTGCTTTGCTCTGTGGCTAAGATCTCTCGGATGTATTTTTGATTGAAACAGTAATATCAGTATACAGTACTATCAGTTTGACAAAGATCGAATATGCTTGAATGTTTCCTTTTAAAATCCAGGCAAATAGGTATATGAAGCTAGACTAAGACTGCACTCAACACCTGGCAAGAATTAGGCATTGATTCTTTACTGTTCAGCTGCCAAAAAAAAAATGTAATTCCTTGAAAAAATTGCATTCTAAAAACCAAACCCCCCCCCCCCAAAAAATCAATATTATTACTATTTACAATTTAGGTACTTGGCCTGCTTAAATCCCACTGAAATTGAAGTAGCTGGGAAATATTAGTAGGCAGTTAACTTCATTAAAAAATGCATTAAAGACTTAAGATCTTTTTTAAAAGGAAACAGGTAAATTACTGGGAACAGCACTTATTTCTATGAACACTGAAAACCAGTAAGTCATTTTAAAATGTTCTATGCTGAAGTCAGTTAAGAAAACTCCTGTTAAGCAGCTTGTAACTGTAAAGTGCCTTTGACGGTCCAGAGTTTTACTGAAAAGCCAGCAAGTGGAACGGCCCCCCATGTGCACGGCATGCACCCCAGGCACAACAAACAGCTTGGTCAGTTTCATTACAGGAGAGGGTACAAGAAAGGTTTCTCCTGTCTACATACCACACTTTTTTATTTCACACAACTTGTAACTTTTAGACATGTCTACCTGTCTGTCAAGTATGAGCAAAATTGGCTAGGTGCAAAAATAATATGGGGGAGGGAGTAAATGGGAAAGGGAGGAGAGGTAGATGGACAGAGGGACACAGACAGACTGATTGTACAAGCTTCATATTCTCCAGAGATCAAACCAAAAATATTATAGTTTGCAAATAACAGTGGATTTACCAGCTAGCTAGCTGTACAGCAGAAAGATAAAGCCTACTCGTGTGTTTCAAGATCAGAACCAGGCCCCAAGGCTGAGCGACATGGTTGCAAATTCACACCTACTTTCTCATTTCCTATTTAAAAATGTAAATTTTTTTTCACTCAGGTAAGTACAGAAATAATCGCTTTCTTGGCAATTTTCCAAAATTTTACAATATTGTATTTGGCTTATTTCTATTTTTAAAATGATAAAACCAGAATATCAATTTATATGTCTTACTGGATGACCAGGTCAGCGGGCAAAAGGTATTCAGTGCCGTCTTCTTCCAGTGCAGCTTTGAGTTTCTTCCCTGTTGCTTTGCTGAGGGATGTTTTAAGCTTCTTTGCTAGTTTCTTAGGAGTGTTTGTTACATATAAAGACTCCTCTGTACAGCAACTATACACTTCAACCTTCACCTGGAAATCTGGTCTTGCTTCATCACTGAAGCGGGGGAGAAAATTTCAGAGCATTTGTTAATAAACTGAGTACGCAGCCAAGGAATGCTGCTGCTACTATATATATTAAATAACATCTATTTCTAATCAAGGGAAGGAATGCCATAAGATTCAGGTGAAGACATACATTAATATGGAATTAAAGACTAGAGTACACAGCAGTTACTTAGTGCTGAAGTCATGAGATGGCTGTTATAATTAAAGCATAAACAACTGCAAACAGGAAATTCAACATTTATGTTAAAAACTAGAAAGAAACCCACATTATGGAAATACACAGGCAAGACATTCAAACACACTTAAATCTGCCCTCTACTGTTACGCAAAAATCACGATTGAAAACCTATCCGTGCCTATGGTCCTAAATCAGATTGAACTGTTTTAAAGATATCTTAGTCACACCCCATCCCCTTCACGTTACTGAAAAAATCCTGTTTCTCTCACAACCAACAAAATCTGTCATTCATAACTTAACTACTTACTGTTGCATTCTTCTGTCTGCAGCCTATGCTTTCTCTGTTTTCAGTTCTACTGATTCTCTTGTTCTCAAGCTTAGTCATCAAACCAGAAGCCTAACCTCATCTTTCAAGTACAAGTCATGTCATTGCACACATGCCCATAACGAAATCATCCCAAAGGCTTTTATAATAAGTCTTTCTTTATCTTGGGAGATACAAGGCAAGTTAGAGTGCCTTTTCTGCTTTTGTTGCAATATTTCACAGAAATTTATAATGGTCAAGTCTCGTGTCTTTGAAGAAGTAGATTTAGATCTTTGCCCCCACTCTTAACTTGAACAGGTGTTTAAGAGAATTTAAATTCTGATCTAAAGATCCACTCTCCCTCAACCACTCCGTTTTCAGGATCTTGATTTAAAGTTTTCAGTAGTCCTAGCTTTCCAGCCAGTCTTCCTCAGGAGACTGAATCTAAATTGCTAATATAAAAAATAAAGCAGGGGGAAAAAAGAAAGTCCTCTCAGGACTCTCTTAAAAATTATAAAGCAACAAAAATGTACATGAGAACACCTTTCTACTCTTTTCCAGGTTACTTTTAAAGATAAATGAATAATTTCCTGTCTAGTATTCCTCAACTATAAGGATTGTGGCTGTAGCACATGCTTATATAGGTGTAACGGAACATGAGGTGTGGAAAGAGACCATAGCCTGCTGTACAGACTAACGCTTAAAACACTGGGTGCAACATTTGTGCCTATACTTTCATAATGCTTTCAGGTTTTAGTATTAATTTAATTCTGCCCTTGAGGTACAAGTTCGTTTATCTCTTTAGATAAAGAAAAAGGCTTTCACATGGCAAAAATGAAGAGTTCAAGCGGCACATCTACAACCAGCATCATTATGTACATAAAAACCAACCTTCCAGAGGGGGGGTATCCACCATCCACTGAAATCAATAAGACCTCTGCTGATTCATTTGCCCACAGAAAAACTTAGTAGACCTCAGCCAATCTTATTCATAATCATATCCACTTTCAAAAGAAAACAGCAATATTTGTAATTCACTCAACAGAAATAAATTATACTCACAATATGGTTACATTTTCATCAAAACAGATATCTGTTATTGCTTTATCCACAATGGCCACCTCTGTATCAAAAACCTCAGCTCCCATTCTGAACAAACAAAAAACTGCATAGCGCTGTGATTCTGGAAAGAGCCAAAGAAATGTTTTATTAGCTGTATTACACATCACAATACTAAATGCTACCAGTAAACAAAAGTAGAAGAAATGGTAATTCAGACCTCTAAGGAATTGTCCTCAAATTCTTTCCACCATAAATTTTCATCATAGGATCTTATGATAATTGAACTATCAAAGCAGCTGTATAGGTAGAATAATATTCACAGAGGAAAAAATGCCTACCTCTGCTCAACTTTTTTTTTTTTTTTTTCTGATAATCAGGGGAAGATTGTGGTAGCAACTTCAGAAATGTTAGTAAAAATGTAATTTTGTTTAATAAAACTGATTTTAAGCAAAAAAAACCCTAATATTTGATCCAAAGCCTGTATTATTTTATGAATGTACTATATAAGATTAGACTATTTTGCCACGCTTAGGCCCTCTGACCCTATTGAAAAGCAAAGTGAAATCAATGCCAGGTGACAGCTGGAACAGATTTAGGGTTAATCTCCATGACACAGCAGAATGCATGTACTTGAAGACTATCCAATAATACACTCAACACTAACAGACAACTTTCCTTTAAATTTCTCACTGGAAACAGCCTCCAATATACTCTCTCAAGTGTAGACATGACATAGAACAACATCTTTAATCAGAAGTTTCTTGGCTATCCATTTAATAACACTTTTCTGTTGCTTTCCCTGAAATTTCTCATCAGAAGGACTTTTTAGAGACTAGGGTTTAAACATACAGAACCACAGGAGTTTGAACTAACTCAACTTGCTGCAACCAACAACTTCAAGTTAAGAGCAACTATTCAACAAACGGAGTAAAATAGGGACCTACTGAAAGGTCAAAGAAGGGGTTAGGATAAGTATGGACTTCCCCATCCAGTTTAAATTTACAGGCATAAGCAATTGCTTATCACAGTAGTTCATTACATCTTACATACTTTCTTTACTGCTGAAGTGATCAGAGTCTTTCCACATTAATGGTATTCGAATATCTAAAGGGAAAAAAAAGGTAGGGAAATTAAGTTAGAGCCAATACTGTAGATCTGTGATCAAAACAAATTACAAAAAGTTTCTTGTTTCTTTTCCTGATGTTCTGGAGGTAACAGGACCTTCTACCCAAAGAACAGCATAACTATTTCAATTTTATTACCCATGTCAAAAGAAAATTCATCAATTAGTTCAACTTGAAGTGTCATTTTCTTTTAGAAATTATGCTAGGATAAAAATATTTTAAATCTCATTTGAAAGTACCTGAAATAACATTTCAGAGTGGCTGTGTAACATAGTTCTGAAAGGTGTTCTCAGAACTCAGAGGTTCTGAGCCTTATTATGCATAGGTGTAAACTGAAACTCTGCTTGCCTTGTGCTGGAAACCACTCATCCAACTGCAAGAAGAAAAACTTCCTGTTTTAATGGAAAGACTGGGATACTTACACTGCAAACACTTAAGTCTTGTTTTGCTAACCACAGAGAAAATATCACTTGTAATCACATTCCCAGTTAGAATTGTCTTAGTTGGCATAAAAATAATTTTTTTAACTCAGAAATATCCTTCTACCTCAGAATCATAGTAGAGAGGCAATTACAGAACCATTATTTTAAGCCATGCCTGTCATTTTAATATTACGAAAGTATTTTGTTCAAGAAATTTTTCAATTTATCTACTCAATCCAACACCGTACTGAGTGACATTTTCCTCCAGTTTCAAAGACTCAGGTTTACATATAATGTTTCTTATTAGTCCCTTGTTAAAAGACAAATGCAGTGGGGGCTTTATAAATCCAAAGTTGGTTTCTTAAGTACAACACAGTGTTATTTAAAAGTATATGCAATATATTAAGTGACACATGATGGCAGCAGTGAACAGCACTAGTTCAATTGTCTTTTGATAAAAATCGTCCATATTCTTATAAAGGAGCATTTCTGACTCCAGTGTTGATTTTCATATGAGGCTGATGGAAAAATCCACGTATAGTATGCTAAGATGCAAAAGAGTACCAGTAGTTTGGCAACAGATTGTCATGTATTCCTACAGGGTTTTACCCACAAAAATTCTTGTTGATTTAAGTGAAACTGCATATAGTCACTGTTTCAGAAGCTATATTAAATGAAAAATTTTAATTTATTTTTTATTATATTATGGGACATTTCATTATACATGCTATTTCAATTTTGAAACTTGCAAATTCATCTATTTTTAAGTGTTCATGAAAACTAATGAATTTTCAACAGTGAACTGCCAGTATACAGCTTCAGACTGCCACAACTTCCTAAAAATCAATACATCACTACATTCTAAAACTGCCTTTCACTTCTAAAGATGCATTTCCATAACAAGCATTTCTAATAATAGTTTTTTTAAAATAAGGAAACAGAAATAGTTTCATTAAAACAGTTACCGAAGTCCCTCTCAAACTTTAAATATATATATATATATTTATCTCTGTCAGAGACAAAGCACAGAATGTTTCTTTCCTGAAAGATAAAGGTCTTAAATTTACATAAATATGTGAAAATAGAGTTACAATAAAAGCCTTTTTTCATCTTTAATCATAGCAAACTCTGAATGACAATGTTAATGTGCTCAATAGGTCTTGTTAACAATTAGAGTACTAGATTAAAGATTACTTCTGTATGCCACTTTCAGTATCATGCTAGCTGAAAAATTTACACCTTAGTCAGAAAATCATCAGGATATAGATAGTCAATCGCTTGAACAAGTTTAACATGATACTTGTAAACCAGTTTTCAATTCATTCTTGGATTGAAAGAGCTGCCATTTATCAAAAGCAAAGATCAATTTTCACACACCTTAATTTCAGTTACCATTAGCTGTAAATCCATGTGGATTTAAATCGGATACATTCAAGCACTACAATTAATCAGATTTAAAGCCAATGATTCCTTTATAAAATTACTTTAAATTATGATTATGCTTTTTGATCAAGATTTAATGTATTGTCTTCCAACAAAATAATTGATTGATAAGATAACATAAGTTACATAATTTATTCACACACGTGGGGGATAAATAAGTAAAAATACCAGAAGTGTGAAAATCTGTGGATTAAGGAATGCACTCCCCACACAGTATCTGACATGCAGTTGCTTTTTGTAGTACATTCCTCAGTACTCCTGCATAGCTGTTCCTGAACTTCTGGTGTTGGCCACATTTTTTTTGGTAATAGTCTAAGCTTCTGGCATGTACTAACCATATGATATGCTAATGTATTTATAAGTGGATGGATTACACTCCCCTAAAAATCCATTCTATATCTTCAATTCTTAAATTACATGCCTTGTCATATTACATGGACTACCACTTACTCCTCCTCATTTCCAACCTCTCCCAGGCAATTCAGTCACGACATCTCCTGATTCACGCTGCTTGTACTCAGAACTGCATTCTCAACAAGGCAGGCACATGTGCACGCACGTGTGCCTTCCAAACACGCAGGGCAACTCCAGTTGCAAATCCAGTGAAGGCTGGCATACAAGAGAGAAGAAATGCAGCATGCCCAATTTGCTACACAACGATTGGGAAAGACAGGGAAAGAAGAATAATGGGATATTACAGATGTGAACATACTGCAGCTGTGGAAGCAGACAGGACCAGATTTGGCAAGCTAAATGGACACAGAGTAATGGGTCAGAGTACAACACAAGGAGGAACCAGGGAGGCATGTATTAACGTCATCTCAGGATCTCCCAATCATGTATCTTGCCCAGCAGCTCCTGCCCTTGCCAAGCACGGACAAGCCTGTCCCCCCAATTACTTCTCAGGCACCCCCGTTGTCTGCTTCTCAGGCACATACAGTGGAAAATAAGGAGTTAATAACAGGTTATGTATAGAAAGCATAAACCTCTCAGCAGAGGCCAAGAAGAACATTTAGGCTTTCCTGCTTTAAACTGGACCTGGCTAGGCTTTCCTAGGAGTATATGAAGGGGAGCGAGGCATGGCAGCAACCCAGCACTCACAAACTTGAGTTCAGAATGAGGTAGTTGATGCCTCTTTCTCTTTGCCTTGATCTATGCCATACTTCTGAGGATCATAACCTCCAGTTTGAGAACCACTATGTTAGTAACAGGACAGAATCATTAACAGATAGCATGTAACAGGAAGTGGTGTATTTCACCCTTGTACTCTCTTGTCCCGTCAAAAGAAACTAGCTAACGGTTTCATAACCTAAAAATAGAGTTCTTACACAATTCTGATCTTCTAAAGATAATACAACTCTATCATGTGATCCTACAGTCTTCACTGCAGATAACTATAAATCCGAAGAAAGGTGCAACCACAGCACAGACAGGCAAACAGATGCTTTCATCCAGCTACCATAAGGAGGAAAGACAGACACACATTCTGCAAACAGCTGTGCTGGCAGAAAACATTATTGAACCATGTGTTCATCACTCTTCTACTAGAAGTTACCTTGCCTAAAGATATGTCAAAATATGCAGAATTAACTTAAACAGTTTAAGTAGTGAGCCCTTCTACACTATTTTATTTTTAATGAAGCATGTCAGGGAGCACAAACAGATCTGTTAGCAAAGCTAGCACAACAGTCACAATGAACAACTACAGCAATGCTGAACATAGTAACATCCACTATTGGCATAGGGAAACAAAATGATAAGTTCATGGTGCTGAAGTTTGAGAACAGGCTAGGCAACAGCGTACCAGTCTACTGGAAATCACCGTTAAATATTCTTGTTACTAGTTTGCATTGAAGCCATACCACTATACCTTTGCTGTAGCCATGTAATCTGCATTAACTAAATAACATTTGCACACTAGTTATAATTGTGCCCTCAATTTGTTAGACATACCCTGTATGATCACATCAAAGTTTGTCTTTGTGGGGAGAAAAAAAGTTATCAGCACATTTACACTTATTTAGCTTCAAAATGTATTCAATGGTTAGTGACAAACAGAAAAAAGTATTTCCCACTGTGAAAGTCCCTGAAAGTAAAATGGAAATACTAGATAGGATCTTCAAAAGCATGTGTGTGACTTAAAAGGACAAGTCCCCTTGAAGCACAAGAGGATTTATGGCCCTGAAAAACATACACACTTTAAAAATACCATCTTGTTTGTATAATTTGTGTTAGAAATCACTGTCCAGCAAATTAGCTCCTATAATTATGTGACTACCCAGCCACTTACCTGATATAGCAACCTTTGCTCTGCATGCCACACGGTCTTTTGTCCCATTTTCTGAAGACCTGCCAAAAAGAAGAAAAGAAAAATGAGGTTTGAGATCTGTGCATTTAGACTTCTAAAACTTAACACTTTAAACATTAAAAGGTGTCAGAGTTTTCATATTACAGCTCATTTCAAATGCTTTTCTTTAAAGTTAAATTTGGTATCTCTGGTTTAAGATATGAGTCATTAGATTCTTGAGGATAATCTGGAAGGAAGGTACACCATCAATTTTCTTAATTCCCTAGAAGATTTTACTCCAAAGTTTATTTAACCTGGGTATTAAAAGACAAGTAGATTAATCTTCCTTGTCTTTTCCAGCTCCAGCAAAAATCAAATACATTATCAACTTTTCCCATTCTGTATGGGAATAATGAATTCTCTATGAATAAGCAACTTAATATATCGGTTCTGTTATTGGTTCAAGAATTGCTTCCTCCTCTATATTAATAGAGACCAATTACAAAATGTTGCACTGCTAATATTGTGATTTTACATGCAGGCAGACACTTTGCTAAGTAGCCAGAGCATAGATCTCAAGGTCAACCTTAAATTGAATCAAAACAATCTGTAGATACTGAGTAACAGTAGAGTGCTCTCCTTATATTTGCTACTGTTCCTAACTCCTAACCAAACAAGGTGAAATGAAAATTTATAGCTGCTACTAATAACCTGACTTCCAGAGGCATTTATAGTACCTTCAGAACTCACAGATTACAGACCCACACAACAAGGACAAAATTCACTTGAAAACCCCAGAAATTTCTCTCTCAGTCAGCATCATCTTATCTGGATTAAGTTTTAACCAAATTCCAGTCTTGAGCAATTACTGAAAAAAGAACTGCAAATGCACTATCAGCTACCAAAGATATGATCTAAATGGTAGAGAAATAACTCTATAGCATGCATCTCTTCTAATGACCTCTACTGACAATTCAAAGGACCCCTTAAGACAGAACCCCTCAGAAAGCAATGCATGACAGACACAAATCAAGTAAACAATACAGCTGACTATGACTGTAAGAAAACAATACAGCTGTTCAGATATATCTTCAAGTATCTCTGCCCTGTTCCGGACACGTGCAATCACCATTCTGTGGTCACTGACATCAAAGACCAGGAGTTGAGTAAATCAGCATATATACATACTTGATATTATTCCATCATTAAAAACATAAATAAAAGATGAATCACTATAAAGGTCTTCATCTTAGTAGGAAAAAGCAATACAACTGCAATAATTACAGAATACCACAATTTCAAAATCAGCTTTCACAATAACAGACAGAAAATGCAGTTCTTTCCTTCAATAAATTTCTCCTATAAGACCACATTTCTGAAAGCAAAAAGTAGCAGGACTGTTCCTATAGATACAGTTAACTGGAGCTAACCATGTGCTCGAAGACTTTCTATGCTAAATTGCAATATTTCATTAAAGTAATAACCTGAGAGCAATAGCGTGTCTGCACCATGATTCTGAACATTGCACCCAAAATATATTCCATTAGGAAAAAAAATTATAACATTATTCAAATAAACCACATATACTTTAGCTCATTCAAGAGTTATAATGTGAGAATATTTTCAACTAAACTGATTTTTCTTCATGTTTATTGTTGTATTTATTACTTTGCTGTAGTTAGCAGAAGTGGCCAGCAGAGGGTACCAATTAACCACGATAATTCCATCATTAACGAGACCTTAATAACAATAGAAAGGATGAAAAGTAGAAATAGGTGTATTCTGACTTGTATAGTTTTGTTTTCTTCCTTCAGACTTGGTTAGGTACCTTTTTGTATGCTAAAGGTAATCAAGAAAATATGTCTATTATGTTACTTGATATTCAGATGGTGAACTACAGTTTAATGTCAGTAATAAAATCTACCCAGAAAAACAGGACTTGTTTTTAATTTTATAAAGTAAAAAGAAGATACTGGAATGGTCTTGTAATGTTTTAAGGCAGCAGTAATGTATGTTTGTATGGGGGAAGACAGAAGGAAAGGTTTAAATTCTCTTTCCTAGACAGGCTGCTAAAAATTCACATAAGCAAAAGCCTGCTTCATAACTTTCCATTGGAATTTGAGCTGTTACTCACCGTTCTTCGGTTCTGCACGAGATCAGCTCTTCCTTTTGTTTCTGTAGCTCTGTCCTGTATGCAAGTATACGAGCATTGCAAACCATCAGGTTTTTAACCGCTTGCAAGAGTTGGTCTTTTTGTGTGCTCACTGCAAGTAGTTTACAGATGCCTTCTCGCATGCGGATTTCAAAGTTAATCTTCTCTTGGATGTCACATTCCTAGATATGCAAAACCAAACAAAGGACTAAACAAAACCCCAGCTAACAGTATCCTGAATTTTTAACAAGCTCTACTTATTTCACAGTTGGGATAGAAAAACCTAGGTTTTAAGTATATGCAGCCATTATGACGGTTACTAAATGTAAAATGATGGTTCTCTGTTCAGGAACAAGAGAGTAAAACACAGGATGTAACAGATTCACTATATCCATTATACATGAAGATTCCAAACCAGGTAGTAACATTAACTCACCATAGCATTTGAAATTTACTAAAAATTTATGTGCCTCAATGTGTCATTCATAGGATAATAACATATGGTCCCCTCATATGGTCATTGAGAGGCCTAACTGAACAAAGCTTATAAATTAACATCCCACTTTTTACAGTGATCCCTACTAAAATAAACTCTGAACTCAGGAAAACATCTGAAATATTTTAAATCAGAAATCCAATCTCATTACTTCTTTGGTCATCTTAAAAAGGGTTAAAAAAAATGTAGTTTTTTCACTTCTGGTTGATAGAAAATTCAGGTGACACCAGAAGCAAAAAAAGGACAATATCCCAATACTTGACTGTTTCAGGCCATGAACTGAAAGTCAGACAGCCGTGGTAGCTTCAACACTACACAAGGATCATGCTCTGCCTGATGGACTTGCCTGTCAAGTCATTAGAATTCTGCATCACTGGTTTTTTTGAAGGAGTGAGGTTTTTTAAGGTATTACAAAGATTTCTGGGAATTCAACTTTTTCCTACCTACTTTCAGAGAAAACAAACATTTAAAAATGCATGTCATTCCTCACTTGCCACTTCAAAGAGGTCAATTCACACCAAGCCAGAAGACAATTAAGGTGAAGAATCACAGTTTGCTGTCTCCTAAACATGTGCTAGATGCCACTGGTGGCTCTGATCACGCTACCTTGTTATGTGGCCATCCCTGGCCAAACCAAGTATTTCTAACACATAAAGAACAGAGTGTTGTCACTGTGTTGCAGGGTTGCATTGAAAATACATTGCAAGTTGGTGATGAATGAAGCTTTTTCAGCAATGAGCAAGAGTGTCCCAACTACCTCTGGAATTAAAAGCATCGTGTCAGTTTTCAATTTTATAGTACATCTGAACTCAAAACAAATGCTTTAGGGATGGATCTATAAGCAATTGACTGAAACTACTCATGGTACAATAAATTGAATTTACAAGTTTGGTATTTTAGCTGGTAGAAAAATACTGGCAACTGCTCTCCCTCAAGACTCTAAACAGGATAGAAAAAAAAGAGGGAGCCAATTTCCGCACAACTCAAGTACCTGAGAAATCCAGAACCCACGAAAGGGGTAATGTGGACGATTTTCTTCTTTACTTGGGACTCACTCTGTCATTAGCTGCCTTTGACATGAGAAAGTGACCCTTCATAGCAGTCACAAGAGGCAGGTGGAAGCTCACTACATAGCCACCATCCATTCCTTCCCAACTTGCAGGATTGGGTTTTATTGGTTTTGAAGGCCTGATTCCATAATGTAAAGATAAAGTTTCAGCTCCTGTTCCATCTGTTCACAGAGCATTTCTCCTTCCAAACCACCCTCCTTTGTTACCCTAAAGGAACAGCGGGCTTCAGTCCACAAGCCACACTCAGCAACATGCTGAAGTTGTAATACTCCACTACATGGCACCTGAAACAGAGCTGATCCCCAGCCACCTCAGAACTCTACTGTAAAAACCCAGAGGCTATCGGATCCCTTCAGCAGTATAAGCCTCTCTTTCTATTTCCTGCCTCCTGTTATAGACAGCAACTTCATTCTTGCTAAAATGGGACCTAGAGCCATACAGAAGGTTCTTCTGCCCCACATCAAGAGCCAGCAAGTCGCTAAGCCCCCATATACAAACATAGTTTCTCGTTTTCCTCGGGTAATAAAGGAGGTGGGTTCCCCCCCACCCAAGATGATAAAGACCCCAAGCTTGTGTAATCAGGCAAAGCAGGACAAATATATGTTCTACTGAATTTACCAGTGTTTAAGACAATTTAGTCACACGGTGACAGCACAGATGATTAGACACCACCATGAAGAAGGGCACTAATAAAGTACAGAGGACTCTCCAGAAACTAAGAACTCTCAATCTGAGACCCCATAAGAAATATTTGGAACATGCACAAGTTACCGTGACACAGGCTTTCTGGCACCAGTGAGTCATTTGGTGGTGAATAGCTCCCAAAGCTCACATCAGAGATGTTTTCCATAGAAGTTTTTCTGGTCTTCCCTACAGTCGATATTCAAAGGCCTGGGACCCAGTATAGCATCACAGACTACCCCAGGTTTCCCCCCCCTCACGGATTTGCTTTCCAAAATCTCAACCACAACCCATGCAGGATAGCACTGCACCAACACTTCCAAATCCCCAGCACCTGCTTCTCTATCCACACATTATCTCAGTGCTCATCCCAGGAGAAGCAAACAGCTTTCATCAATCTTCTTTTATTCTGAGTCAAATTTTACACAGCTATGAAAAGCTAAGCAAGGCCTACACCTGCTCCTAAGAAATAATTACTCATTCTTTGAGCCTAAACTAATACATCAGCTATTACAAAGCTGAATTTCATCTCAGAAGAGTGAAATAGTACTTTCCCCCCAACGTTTCCCAGGGTACCAGGCCTCTGCACTGATGCAGCACAGGCCACGGCTCCTTTCCAGCTCTATCACCTGGTACTTAACTATGGTGAGGAAATAAACTCTCCTAATTTGGGGCATCTGCATGTATCTGTACTAGGACTTTCAGAACTACACAAAGGATTTAGTCCATGCTACACCTCAGCCAGGCTCACGTAAAATATTCTGGACTAGCATTAAATGCTTGTTGGGCCATAGCTTAAATAATCACACCATATAAATCGCATCTGAAGGAATGACTTAGCAGCCTGATTTGAAATGTATGAAGTTCTTCATGTCTACCAAAAAAAAGTTGGTCAGGTTTTCTTTTTTTTTTTTTTCCCCAGTTCCTTCTAAAAATATGAGCATACCATCTGGACTTGGAGGAATGACACAGCACTATTTTGCCATATGCTGTCTTCTAATGCACTGTTTCCCTTGTGATCTCCATCCTCCCCCCACCAGTGGCAGCATAACCCAGACAAGATTACTAACAGATGTTGAGATTTTCAGCCCCACACTCAGGAACTACCTAAGCAATACTTTCAGAAAGTCTTTGTATTCCTCACCTAAGCATACCTACAATGTAAGAAATTTTAAAGGATTTCTAGTTTTGCATAAGTGATGGAGTCACAAAACAAAAAAAGAATCCAACAATAGCCAAGAAAAATTACATGGATACTGCTGAAGGCAGGACAGATTGGAATTTTACTTTATTTAATTGATATCTTAAATACAGGCTTTCAGAATCTTATTCCAAGGTATACTTCCGATTTATTAGCACGGTGGCTTACATCTAAAGCCCATAGGTCTACTATATTTATTTAAAATAAGCAAGTAGTCAGGCAGCAAGTGTTCTTCTCAAACAGAGGCTGTGAAGTCAAGGTACTAGCTTGGGGACTTTTCTAGCTAGACACAGGAATAAGTATTTGTTGCAGTTGACAACAATAGCTCTACAGACACAGCTGAGTTCAACCAATTCAGTTTTTTTAAATGATTGGAGGTAAAAAAAAATAAATCTCATTAATGGGAAATCAACGACTAAAAGATCGAAGAGCTAGAAAGGATCGGCTTCACGCTCCGAGACCCTGAAGAGGGTGAGCAGAGAGCTCAGCCCACCAAAGCAGCGTCCCCTTTGCCCGGGCAGCTAACCCGCGCCCCGCTCTCCCCAGCGGACCTCCGCTGAGGGGCTGCCTTACCGCACCCAGCCCGGGCCGCTGCCCAGCCCGAGCAGGCGGCCGGCTCCATCGCCTTAAGCGGGCTCCCTC